CTTTAATAAAAAAGGGAAGTTCTGCTTGTAGCTTGGCCCAGAATTTGAAAGGCATTTTTCTTTGTGCCCTCGTGTAATAATAAAGTGTGACTCCAAACTCTCCGAGCATTGCTTGATGTATTCCGGTTCTCTGTAACACTCAGACATCACCTACCCAGAGCAGCTCAGTAAGGCAGGAGGTTTCTGGGTCAGGGGCTTGATCTTAGCATCTCAGTAGCCAGGTGCCTGGTTCAGAGCAAAACCCCAGTGAACAAGGGTGGATAGAATGAAGGACACAGAGGTCAGGACCAGTGGGTCTGATTTCAGGTCACCAGGAGGCTTCCACACCTCCCCATCACAACCTCACCTGTCCTGGTAACTCCCGGTCCATCCTGTGGCTTGTGGTCTCAGGTTCTCATGCCCTCTCATCTCAACCCGACTGTTTCCTCGTGCTGCCAGGCAAGCTGGAGGAACCCACTGCAGCCTCTCTTCTGGATTTTCTTTTCCTCTTAGATTTTTTTAAATCTTTATTGTTGAAAGTATTACTTATGTTCCCCCCCGCCCCGCCCCCCTGGCCTTCAGCACCCTATTTTCTGTGTCTTTTGTTGATCCCTTCCCACCTTCCCCTGCAGTCTGTTCCATGCTTCTGTGTTTCTGGATCTATTTTGTCCATCAGTTTATTTTGTTCATTAGATTCCACATATAACTTAGATCATGTGATACTTGTCTTTCTCTTACTGGCTTATTTCAATTGCCATAATGCTCTCTAGGTCCCTCCCAGGCTGGCTCAAAGGGCAAGAGATCCTTCTTTTTTACTGCTGCTTAGTATTCCATGGTGTAAATGTACCACAGCTTTTTTATCCACTCATCTACTGATGGGCACTTGGGCTGTTTCCAGATCTTAGCTATTTTAAATTGTGCTGCTATGAACATAGGGGTGCAAACATTCTTTCTGATGGTGTTTAGGGTTTCTTAGGATATATTTCTAGAAGCAGAATCACTGGGTCAAATGGCAGTTCTATATTTAGTTTTTTGAGGAAACTCCATACTGTTTACCATAATGGCTGCACCAGTCTGCATTCCTTCCAGCAGTGTACTAGGGTTCCCTTTTCTCCACATCCTCACCAGCACTTGTCATTTGTTGATTTGTTGACAGTAGCCATTCTGACAGGTGTGAGGTGATACCTAATTGTCATTTTAATTTGCATCTCTCTGGTGATCAATGACTTTGAGCATTTTTTCATATGTCTCTTGGCTACCTGAATTCCACTTTGGAGAAGTGTCTATTTAGGTACCTTGCCCATTTTTTTTGTTTTGTTTTGTTTGTGTGGGATTTTGTTGTTGTTGTTCTTAATCCTCAACTGAGGATATTTTACCATTGATTTTTAGGAAGAGTGGAAGAGAGAGGGAGAGACAGAAACAGCAAAGTGAGAGACCACACATTGATTGGTTGCCTCCAGCCCGAGCCCTGACCAGGGCCTAGGCCAGAGAGGAGCCTGCAACCGAGGTATGTGCCCTTGACCAGAATCAAACCTGGGACCCTTCGGTCCATAGGCCAATGCTCTATCCACTGACCCAAACCGGCTTGGGCAGTTTACCATTTTTCAATTGGATTGTTTGTCTTCCTTTTGTTAAATTGTATGAGTTCCTTATATGTTTTGGATATTAACCGTTTATCAGATGTATCATTGCTAAATATGTTCACCCATACAGTGGGCTCCCTTTTTGTTTTGTTGAGGGTTTCTTTTGCTGTGCAGAAGCTTTTTATTTTGATGTAGTCCCATTTGTTTATTTTCTCTTTAGTGTCCTTTGCCATAGGAGATGTATCCATAAACATATTGCTATGAGAGATGTCTGAGATTTTGCTGCCTATGGTTTCTTCTAGGAATTTTATGGTTTCACGATTTACACTTAAGTCTTTTATCCATTTTCAGTTTATTCTTGTGTATGGTGTAAGTTGGTGGTCTACTTTCATACTTTTGCATGTACCTGTCAAATTTTCCCAACACCATTTATTGGAGAGACTGTCTTGACTCCATTGTATACTCCTGCCTCCTTTGTCAAATATTAATTGAGCGTAATGACTTGTGTCAATTTCTGCGTTCTCCATTCTGTTCCATTCATCTATATGCCTGTTCTTATGCCAGTACCAGGCTGTTTTTATTACAGTGGCTTTGTAGCATAACTTGACATCTGGTATTGTGATTCCTTCAACTTTGTTCTTCTTTCTCAAGATTGCTGGGGATATTCGGGGTCTTCTTTAGTTTTAGTTCCATATAAATTTTTAAAGTATTTATTCTAGATCTGTGAAATATGCTGTTCGTATTTTAATAGGGGTTGCATTAATCTAGAGATTGCTTTGGGTAATATGGATATTTTAATGATGTTGATTCTATCAATCCTTGAACACAGTATATTTTTCCACTTGTTTATATCTTCCTCTATCTCTTTTTTCCAACATCCTGTAGTTTTCCGAGTACAAGTCTTTTACCTCCTTAGTGAACTTTATTCCTAAGTATCTTAATTTTTTGTTGCAATGGTAAATGAGATTGTTTGTTTAGTTTCTTTTCTGAGAATTCATTATTGGTGCATAAAAAAGCCATCGATTTATGGTGTTGATTTTTGTATCCTGCTATATTCCTGAATTATTTATTAAATTCTAGTAGTTTTTTGGTGGCATCTTTAGGGTTTTCTAGGTACAATATCATGTTGTTTGTGACAAGTGTGAGGTGATACCTAATTGTCGTTTTAATTTGCATCTCTCTGTTGCAGAGTGGTGCAGCCAATGTGGACGCCTTTTATTTCTTCTTCTTGTCTGATCACTGTGCCTAGGACAGTGATAGCGAACCTTTGGAGCTCGGCGTGTCAGCATTTTGAAAAACCCTAATTTAACTCTGGTGCCGTATCACATATAGAAATTTTTTGATATTTGCAACCATAGTAAAACAAAGACTTATATTTTTGATATTTATTTTATATATTTAAATGCCATTTAACAAAGAAAAATTAACCAAAAAATGAGTTCATGTGTCACTTCTGACACACGTGTCATAGGTTCGCCATCACTGGGCTAGGACTTCCAGTACTATCCTATCTAATAGAGAAACATGGTAATTGACCATACCTTCGCTATGCTTCCCATTGGATAATCAGGGTGATATGCAAATTAACTGCCAACAAAAACGGCAGTTAATTTGCATACCTAGGCGCAATGCTGGGAGGCAAAAGGGGAAGGACAGAAGAAGCCGCCTGCCGCTGACGGTGATCGGAAACCCAGGCAGCAGGCAAGAGCCGGTGGCAGGGCAAAGGCGGCCCAGGAGACGGACAAGCCACCCGCCCGAGGTCCCAGGCTGCAGCCACCCGGAGAAGCTGCCAGCCCTGTGGTCCAGGGCGCTAGCACCTATGGCCAGGGAAATAGGTTCCCTTTTCTCCTACTGCAGTCATTACTTCAATATTCCCCTTCTGAATTTCTCTCCTGTGCTGCAACCCAACTCCACTTTTCATCGGAAGGATACGGAACAGAGAGAGCAGTGTTAAAAGCTTACATTTTTAAGCCAGTAAGGTTGGTACTTAAACATATAAATGGAAAACTAGAGTCCTTAAGGTAACAAAAGCTACAAAGGACAGGGACAGCGCATGACCTATTATATCCAGCAATCCATATGGGGACTGAAAACTTTGCAATGATGACAATTAGTGAAGATATGAATCAACTAAAATAGTTGACAGGGACAATTCTTCCATCTTTGAAAATATCTACATCAAATCTGTTTAAATTGATTTTCATCTGCATAATATAACACATTCTGACAAGACCACCACCACCACCAATGTGGTCAGTGTTGTGCTGATAAATGTTTAATAACTGAGAGATCCCCCTCCCCGAGTGCACAAATTTTTGTGTACCGGGCTACTAGTCACTATATAGAAAAGGCTAAAAAGCTAAGTGTCTGTCCATCTGACCGGTAGCTATGACGCATACTGACCACCAGAGGTCAGATGCTCAACGCAGGAGCTGCCATGATGGGCACTGGCCATTTTAAAATAAACGGCACCATGGACATGGTGCTGACAAACCAACACTCGGCTTCCCCCAAGTGGGACATAGGCCCTGCCACCACCCCAGAGCGACACTCCACCAAATTGATGCCAATGCTGCCAACACCCCATGCCACAAAATGCGGCCCACAGCCCAGCCCAGCCCAGAAACGGTGGCTGTGGGCACCAGATAATGATGTCACATAGCAACGCCCAGCTTCCTCTCCCTAGCAACTAGCTTCCTTAGAGTTTCTTCAGCCCAGGAACCTGACTTGCTTTAGAGCCAGGTGCAAACATTTTACAGTTTAACCAAATGTTTGTGAAGCGTTTTCCCATGCCTCATCTCATTTGATCCTCACAGAAGTCCCAGAGTAGGTAGATAGGAGACTTGGTAGAATCCTATTTTCTTTTCATTAGCCAGAAAAACAGAGATTTAGAAAGTTTAGAAACTTGACCCAGCTGAAAAGAAGAAATGGTCGACCTTGAAAATGACTTCAGATTTTCGCACTGTGCAGAATTATAGTCAAACACTGCTACAGTTAAATATTTTATTCTTTGTTTTCCCTGCGTGATCTACAATAATCATCTACTTCGTGTTGATATTTACTGATGTGTTGCTGACAATTACCTGAACAAGAAGTTGGGGTGCTTCACTGGGTTGGAAAAAGTTTAGCTAAATCAGAAAGCAGGTGTAATTAAGTAAGTTTATTCTATATCTATAAAAGGCTAAGTTGACTCGCACATACACGATACATATAAAGCTCTCGCTGGCACCAATTGCATGCATGTGTTTCGATCTGTCATTATCAATCATGAATTTTGTTGACAGTTATAGAGAAAGGGTGAATAGGTGCCCAGTAAATAATGGATGATTCTTCAGCATGTTCAAAATATCCATGACTAAAGGTATGACGACGGCAAACAGTACTCGCCGTAGACGTAAGGAATCCAGTAAGGAATATTACTGGACACCTAATATTTACCTGACCCTGATGTAGATGCTTTACATCCATTGTCTTATTGGACAATAAGGTGAGGAGGTATTAGCAGCCCATTATTGCAGATTCAGAAAGCTGAGGCCCTGAAAGATAATGAAACTTGCTCAGGTGAGGTTCCTACCTTTCAATAATCGAACTCCAGCTCTTCTTATTCTAGATTCTGCTTTTTCTCTCCACTGTGATAAGTCACTGAAAAGCTCACCCAGACAATGGGGCCCAGGCTGCATACTTTTGCATAGAACACTATCGCCTCTGTGTGGGAGGGGTCCCACCTTGTTTCATTTCTTTATTCAAGGTTCCAAGGAAAGAACCTTGCCCAGTGCCTGACAAACCATGTGCTTGGTAAATGTTGGCTGTTCAAGTGAATGAATGAATTCTGTTGCTCAGAACATGCACACAGTGCCACGGAGGGTCCTGAATGCTACCCACTGTCACTGGGAATACTGAGAGCTCCCTTTGCCCATGAGGACAGAGCTGTCCTGCTCCATCCAGATGCCCCGACAGCAGGTCCTCAGGCTGTGGCTCTCCGTGTAAGGTAGCTGGTCAGGGAGGTGTCAATAAAAAAAGCCAACTCTGGATTTTCCAAATCCCTCAATTCCTGTCTGTTGCAGCACCATTGTACAAGACAGGGCGAAAAGGATTGTCTACCTGGTACAAGTCAGGTGTGGCCAAGAGGGAAAGTTCATCCCTTTTGTCCATTCTCCACTTCCTGGGCATTCCTATAAGAATCCCTCTCCCGGAGGACTAGGGAGGAGTCCTCCTGAGTTTCCTGCTTAAGAAAACTGGACAGGAATGACGCTGTTACTAAAAAGGGAAGTTACAGGGGAAAAAAGGAGACATATGTAATACCCTTTGTAATACTTTAAGCAATAAAAAAAAGAAGAAGAAGAAGAAAAAAAAAGAATCCCTCTCCCACCATGCTTCTATCTGCTATTGTTCTAGGACAGTGATGGCAAACCTTTTGAGCTCGGCGTGTCAGCATTTTGAAAAACCCTAACTTAACTCTGGTGCCGTGTCACATATAGAAATTTTTTTATATTTGCAACCATAGTAAAACAAAGACTTATATTTTTAATATTTATTTTATATATTTAAATGCCATTTAACAAAGAAAAATCAACCAAAAAAATGAGTTCGCGTGTCACCTCTGACACGCATGTCATAGGTTCGCCATCACTGTTCTAGGAGAATCTTACATTTAGATTAACAAGAGCAAAGGTCTTTGCACAACAGTACCAATGAGGAGCAGTTTTATTACTATCAAACAGATAGGAAGGATTGAGAGGTTTTTTTTTTTCAATATTTTTCTTATCAAAGAAGATATCAATCCAAGCATTTTATTACAATTCAATTAAAAGGTGTGATTTTCTTCAAATAAATTATTTGTATTTCTTATCAAGGTGAATTCTTTGTACTGTAACCCTGATGAATTAGATCCTCTAGTAAATGCATTTTTAACTGGCTGTTTCTGCTAAGGGTTTCTAATTATCCAGACATAAATTTATTTTATTTATTGTAGTTTAATCTTTAGGATTTTTAAACTATGCAATCATATTAGAGGAAAAAATTGTGATTATTTTACTTTCTCCCTTCCAAGAGTCTTGCCTTTTATTTTATTTTTCAAATTTTTTTTTATTTTGGAGTAATTTAAAATTTTAAACAGTTGAAAAGACAGTACAGAGGATTCACCTATACTCTTCATCTAGCTTCCGCTAATATTAACATCTTACATAATAGCCATGGAACATTGCCAAAACTAAGATATTAACATCAATATAATTAGTTTTCCTTTGTTGTTGTTATTATTACTACTATTATTATTACTATTATTATTAATGCTATTCCACCCGTTTTTCTCTAATTTTTTTCTGTTTTAGAGGCCATATTGCAGTTAGTCTGGGACCCTCTTTTTTATTATTATTAATTTCAGAGAGGAAGGGAGAGGGAAAGAGAGATAGAAACAATGATGAAAGAGAATCATTGACTGGCTGCCTCCTGCACACCCTCCATTGAGGATCGAGCCCAAAAACCAGGAATGTGCCTTTAACCAGAATCAACCTGGGACCCTTTAGTCCACAGGCCAATGCTCTATCCACTGAGCCAAACCAGCTAGGGCTTTGGGTTTTTTGTTTGTTTGTTTTTAGTCTGTGATCGTCTTAAATGCAGATTCTGCATTTTATGAAATATCTTAAATATTATTTATTTATAATCATTTTTTTATTTTTCAATTACAGTTGACATACATTATTATGTTAGTTTCAGGTGTACAGCCCAGGGATTAGTCATTACATAACTTATTAAATCATCATCCCAATAAATCTTACACCATACATAGTTATTAGAATATTACTGACTATATTCCCTAATCTATACTTTACATCCCATGACTATTCTGTACAATCAATTTGTACTCCTTAATCCCATGATCCTTTCACTCATCTTCCCAACCCCTCTTCCATCTGGCAATTATCAAAATGTTCTCTGTATCTATGAGTCTGTTTCAGTACTACTTGTTCCTTTATTTGGTTTTTAGATTCAGTAGTTGATACATATGTATTTATTGACATTTTATTGTTCATATTTTTACCTTTTCTTTTTCTTCTGCTGCTTAAAAATCCTTTAACATTTCATTTAATAACTAGAGGCCCAGTGCATGAAATTCATGCATGGCAGGGGGGGTCCCTCAGCCCGGCCTGCACCCTCTCCAATCCGGGATCCCTCGGGGGATGTCCAACTGCTGGTTTAGGCCCGATCCAACTGGCAATGAAACAACCCTCTCGCAGCTGGGACTGCTGACTCCTAACCACTCACCTGCCTGCCTACCTGATCGCCCCTAACCCCTCTGCCTGCCTGCCTGATTTCCCCTAACTGCCCTCCCCTGCTAGCCTGATCACCCCTAACCACCTCTTCCTCATCCCCTGCCACTGTGGCTTTGTCTGGAAAGAAGGCAGGATGACTGAAAGATGTCCAGTTGACCCAGTCTAATTAGCATATTACCCTTTTATTAGTATAGATGGCTTGATGATGAACTCTTTTAGCTTTTTCTGTGTGGGAAGCTCTTTGTCCTTCAATTCTAAATGATAGCTTTGCTGGGTAATCTTAGTTGTAGGGTCCTTGCTTTTCATCATTGAATATTTCTTAAAAATCCCTCTGGCCTGCAAAGTTTCTGTTGAAAAATCAACTGACAGTCGTATGTGAACTCCCTTGTAGGTAACTAACTGCTTTTTCTGGCTACTTTTAAGATGATCTTTGTCTTTGACCTGCCTTCTTTGGGTACATCTTATTTGGGCTCTCTATGCTTCCTGGACTTGTATGCCTATTTCTTTCATTGGGTAAGGGGAATTTTCCTTCACTGTTATTTTTAAAATAGGTTTTCAGTTACTTGCTCTCTCTCTTCTTCTTCCAGCATCCCCATGATGCAAATGTTGGTATGCTTGAAGTTGTCCCAGAGGCTCCTTACACTATCCTCATTATTTTGGATTCTTTTTTCTTTTTGCTGTTCTGATTGGGTATGTTTTGCTTTCTTATCTTCCAAATCTCTGACTTCATCCTCAGCTTCATCTACTCCACTGTTGATTCCCTATAAATCATTCTCCATTTCAGTTAGTGAAGCCTTCATTTCTGGCTGGTTCTCTTTTATGTTTTCTACCTGTTTTTATGTTTCCTATCTCTTTGTTGAAGTTCTCACTAAGTTCATCTACTCTTCACCTAAGTTAATTGTGCATCCTTACATGTGCCATGTTTTGAACTGTGCATCTAGTAGATTGCTTGTCTCCATTTTGTTTAATTCTGTTTCTGGAGCTTTGTTCTGTTCTTTCATTTGGAACATGTTTATCTCTTCATTTTGGCAGCCTCCCTGTGTTTGTTTCTATGTATTCGGTAGAGCCAGGCTTGGTAGAGTGGCCTAATGCAATAAGTGTTCTGTAGGTCCAGTGGCACAGCCTCCCTGATCACACAAGCTGGGCACTTGAGGTGCACCACCTGTGTGAGCTCTGTACACCTGCTTCTTGTAATTGAGTCTTGATTGTTGTGGGTATGACAATGGGACTGATTTACCCCAAAGCCAATTGACTGCAAAGATTGGGATCACAGACCACTGATCTCCAACTACTGTGGAGAATCAACTGTGCAGGGGCTCACCCCACAGAGCAGGACTTACTTCAGTGGGGCTCTGGTGCCCACTGAGTCTGCTCCTTGAGTGTGTTGCTTGTGGAGGTGGTTAGGTAGTGGTGCTTTGAAATGGTCTGAAGCTGTCCACTGGATGTGCTGACTCTGAGGCCTCCTGGGAGGTGCAGACCCAGGTCAACTGCCACTTGTGTTCTGCCCACAGCCACCCAGCATGAGCTACAAAGTAGTCTTCAGATGGTTGCTATTTGTGCTGGGTTTGGAAGTGCCCAGGCAAGGTCAACCTGTGAACCATAGTGGGCTGCCACTAGTGCCATATGTGAGGCCACTTAGCAAGAAGTACAGGGCTTACTGAGGCCAGATGCTGCTTACTTGGGAAATTTTAGGAAAAATCTGAAGCATGAGCCAAGACAGGCCATTCATATGGAAAAGCCACTGGAAAGAGGAGCTCAGGTGGACCCAAAAATTGGGTAGAGTGGATCCTCAGGGAATCACCAAGGCAGAGCAAACAGTGTGAGCCAGGTTGATGGCTCCTCATGGGGAATCTCAGCAGCTGATAAATCCCTCCCAATTTTTATCCTCCACACTTGGGTGCAGGACCAGCCTGTTCAGCATTTGCACTTCTCCTACCAGTCTTGAGGTGGCTTCTTTAATGTCCTCGTTCTAGAACTTCTATTGAGCCAGATTTCAGGTGGTTCTGAATGATGGTGGTTCTGTAGTTTAGTTGTAATTTTGATGTGGTTATGGGAGGATTCGAGTACCACATTTACCTACACTGCCATCTTGACTGGAAGGAAGTTGCTTTTTATTTTTGTTTCATGTCTTATTGCATATGCTAGAACTTTCAGTACAATGTTCAATGATGGTTTGAGAAGGTAGGCATTTTGGTTTTGATTTGGTTTCATTGGGAAGGACTAAAGGCCTTTCACCATTACTAATGACATTGGCTCTTGTTTTTCAACAGAAAATTTTATTGTGATATATGCATCCCCCTATTCTGATCTGTTTTAAGAATAAGAATAAGTGTTGCCACCTCTTTCTTCTGCCATTCCTGGTGCTGTTCCTGTGCTTGATTGGTGTGGATCTGGCACCTTTTTTGTGAAGTGACAGTTAAGGAGACTCCAGCACTTGCCATGGCCAACAAAAGTGCAAGGAAGGAGTCAAAACTGAGAACAACTATCATATTAATTTGAAGGTGGCAGAGCAGGATGGTTCTGTGGTGCCATGCAAGACACCACTTAGTAAACTAATGAAAACCTGTTGTGAATGGCAGGGTTTGTCAATGAGGCAGATCAGATTCCAATTTGACAGGTAACCATTCAGTGAAACAGACACATCTGCACTGTTGGAAATGGAGGATGAAGATAGAACTGATAATGTTCCAGCAGCAGACATGAGGTGTCTGGTGAAAAGGGAACTCCTACTTTACTCCAGAACTCTGTTCCTTCAGACAAAGACATTCTCAATTAGAAAACCACAATTTTGTTTCACCATGTTCTGACTGCTACAGTCAAGTTCTCTCTATTTTTTCATCTTCCCCTTTTTTTCCCTTTCCTGTACATAAAATAACTGATGTATGTGCACAGCATTTTCATTTTTTTAACTAAGTGGACAATGGTATGTTTTGATCAACATCAAATAGAGATGGGATGGGGAAAAATACTGGTTCTGTGGAAATGCCCCTTTCTCTATTAGTGGCATGCTCATTTAATACTTATCTTTATATTCCAGCAAGTTATGTTTTTTCATTTATCATTGTAAACTAGGGACAATGTTACAACTTTTTTGTATGTAGCTTATATGTAGGATAATCTGTGTTTTAATAGGAATAAATTACTCTAAAAGAAATAAAACCTAGATACTCTTCCCTTCAAGTCAAGCATCTTGTTATTTAAATAAACTTCTTGTTTAAAATGAGGGTGGGATGGGAAATGATGAGAATAGGTATTTAATTTTGCTAAATGCCTTTTCAGTTTCATTGGGACTATATGATGTTTTATTTAGACTACTAATATGGTACATTATTGTTAGTCACAACACCTTCATATTCTTGGATAAGACCTTAATTTACATTTTCCAAGGTGCCTATATATTTTTTTTCTTTTTTCCTCTGTTGAGTTTTATTAAAAGCCTGTGAGGAAGTGACTATCTCTTATAGGGATGAATGGGAATTGACTAGAAGGGGCAAAGTGGATTTCCTGGGGTGGTGGAAACTTTCTGTCCTGATTGGGTAATGATTACATATGAGTATACAGTTGTCAAAGCTGAAGTGGAATCCTCAAGTGAGCTGTTTACTGCATATATGAGTAAACAGTGGCACAGTTGTTGAGTTATGCAGTATGAGAGTTTCTGTCCTTTTCCATAGAGACCCAAGAGGGGAGGTGGCAGCCGCAGTTCACACAGCTGGATGATGTTTAATCATATTAGAATCCAGGACTCCTGATTTACATTCGAGGACCTTCTCCACCATAGTTACAGGATCCAGCAAAAGCTGAATGGTCTCAGATGAGAAGACTGAGTAAGTTAAAGTTGATGCCCTGGCCAGGTAGCTCAGTTGGTTGGAACACGATCCCAATATGCCAAGGTTGCAGGTTCCATTCCCTCATGGGGGTACATGCAAAAGCAGCCAATGAATGTATAAATACGTGGAACATCAACACTCTCTCTCTCTCTCTCTCTCTCTCTCTCTCTCTCTCTTTTAATTGTCACTGATCTCCTTTTACTTTTAAAAATATATAACCTCGGAGGTGCTTCCCACATGTGGCCCAGCCTGGCCACTGCCTCGTCACTCCTTCGGCGAGCTCAGTGGCCAATGGTCCTTGCGGAGGCCCAAGTTATCTTAAAGACCATAGACACGGATTGACAGAGAGGGGAAAAGCAATTTCTATGCCTCTGCATTAACTCTCCCTACCCTCCTAGATCCGACAAGTGTTTTGGTTTCATCCATATACACTTGTGAATCTTTGTTCTCAGTGATGAATTTTGTTAAGTCTCGTAATAGGAGTAGCCTGATGGATGAAAGTAGTAGCTCGTGCATAACTCTGAAGGTCACGAAATATAAACCTGATGTAAAATCTCTGTCATCAGTGATGCAGCAGCAAAAGTCCCACTGATAATATCAAATGGAGTCATAAAGTTTTCTGTCGGACTATCAGTGTACATGTGTACATTAAAAAGTAAATGTATTTTTCATTATCATATATTGTGTTTTTGTCACTCGAATGAATTTTATTATTTATTCAAGGTTCTTCACATATGTACACCTTAAGAGATATCAAGTAGGCGTAACATGTTCTCAAAAATTAGGGTTGGCACACAGAAGAATTTTGAGTCAGAGATTTTGCTGGTTTTGGCACGCACTCACAAAAAGGTTGCTCACCCCTGCCCTAGAGAGGTTATGTGCAGACTTCAGAGCACCAGGAGGCTGTGTTTGTGGCCCATGGGTGCCTGGCAGGTGGGTGGCGGGATGGAGTCTACATGGTGGCGGATCTGTAGGGTATGGCTGTCTGGCTCTCGTGCCTGGCCACCACCTACTCCTATGTGGTCTTCTGCAAGGGGCTGACCTGCACGCTGCTCATCTTCTACTTGGCCTAAACTTCCCCTACCTCTATGTATTGCGTCTTCCATGATGCTCAACGTCCACTCCAAAATTTGCTGAGGTTCCTGACCTGCCAGCAAGTGACCTTCCTGACCACCTAGGGCTGGGATCTTGTATGCCAGGTTCCTTCCAGGTTGGCTTTCCTGGGAGGGCTTTGTAAATATTGGATCCATAAGTAAAGTTGACCTCAGTCTTTATGAGTGGCTTGTCACTGCTGAGTCATTCTCAAATAAATTCATATTGAGATCAATTGAAGACCTTCCACAGACTGAGACAGGCATGTCCTTGGGCTCCCTGCATCAGAGAACACAGCATGGGGTAGAAGAGGGACTCTGGGTACCTGCCGCACAAAAGTGCAGGGAGAGGACTCAGACAAAGTACTGTGTAGCCTCTGAACACAGGAGAGCCCTCACCTACCAGATGCACTTTCTTGGGTGAATAAACCTGTGGTTGATATACATGTAAATTCACAAAATGAGACCTTATCATTGGAAATGAAAATTGATCTGAGTGAGGCCAACCTCGTGCTTCACAATGGCACTAAAGTACTTGCATATTTGAAAGAATCAGTAAGAAGAAATTCTGCTTCCACATTGGCTCAGGGTAAGACTATGTATCTGTCCTTTGCTCCTGCCAAAGAGCATTTTGCTGGGGTGTCCTGTGGTGTTAAGGAGGCCCGGGTGAGGGACTGGCTGGGAGGTGAGCCCTGGGATCCATAGGACCACAGAGGAGAGCCTTGGCGGGTCAGGACTACCACGCTGTCAGAAGCAGTGAGAAATGTGAATTTCTGAGGATGAACCAAGTGCTTTTGTTGAGGGGTGAGGCTCTGAGCTGGAACCGTCTCTCCTGCATTCAGTCCTTCTACAGCACTGAAGTGTTTCCAAATGATGATACACACTGTGTTTCCCCTGGTCCTTCAGAGCCCATACTTTCAGGCAAACAGCAGAATGCAGGAAAATACTTCCAAGTGTAAAAAGTATCTCAAATGATCTGCAGGTAACACTGAGACTTCTGACTAGGAAAGCTTTTTAAGGAACAAAGCCATTATGCCAGTTAAGGTGGGAGTAAAAATAGTGAGATTAATGTACAAGTTTGTGGGGAAGCACAGGACTTGGTTAGAAAGTCTGTAAGGAGGATTCTCTGAAAGGTTAGGGGCCTCTTAGGGCGACCTTGCCAAAGGCAGCAGCTCCTGCCTTGATTTTTCCAAACAAGTCCGAGCCCCCTGGTGTTTTGCTGGAATCTTATGATAAATCTTTTAGACATGACCTTGTAGACGTATGTGCTTTCTCAAGGATACTTACCCTGCTGATTATATCTAGAGGTTAATTTTAGTTCAAGCTGTTGTTACAATAAAAGCCTAAGGAGACAAGCAATCGAGGCTGTTTTGGTGCCTCCTTCCAACCAGCCCCTTAGCCTCTCTTTCACAGAAATGTGTGTCAGAGTAATCTATTCATCCGTCACTCAGGGTCTGCTGGCCAGTCCTGGCACAAGTTATCCTAGAATGGCTTCTTTCTATTTAGTCTGGTGCAGCCCTGAAGTTCCTGCTCTGGTTTCTGTGTCCAGAGGTGGCTATACTAATACCATGAACATATAACAATTATCAACATACTAGAGGCCCGGTGCACAAAAATTTGTGCACTCGGGGGGAGGGGGGTCCCTCAGCCCGACCTATGCCCTCTTGCAGTCTGGGACCCCTCGGAGGATGTCCACCTGCTGGCTTAGGCCTGCTCCCTAGGGGGTCAGGCCCAAGCTGGCAGTCAGACATAACCTCTGGCAGCCCGGCAGCCCTCAGGGGATGTCCACTTACCAGCAGGGAGCAGACCTAAGCTGCAGTCAGACATCCTTAGTGCTGCTG